GAGTTAGGAACCGACTTGACAGCCTTAACAACACAGGAGTTGTGGTAGCATAGTGGGTTATGTGTTGGACTGCTAACCAAAAGGTTATTAGTTTGAATCCACTAACTGCTCCATGGGGGAGAGATGAGGCTTTCCACTCCCCAAAAAGATTTACAGCCTCAGAAACACTATACAGGGATGCTGTGAGTCAGAAATGACTCAACGGCACATCGTAGCAGCAGTCTTATTACACAGACACAATAACTATTCACATTTCTAAATACCTAAGTTTAGATTTTTAATATTTAAAATTTTTGTTGCTGTTGAGAGTATCTACAGCAGAACATACACTGACCCAACAGTTTCTACATGTACACTTCAGTGAGATTGATTACATTATTCAAATTGTGCAGTCGTTCTCATCCTCATTCTCTGAGCTTCATTGTTAACATAATTTCATCCAGACTTTTGAGTTTCTGTTCTCAATTTTATCCCATATAGATAGTTCTTAAATAACGACGGTGCTCAAGACAGAAATTCTTGACTGGTGAGCTAAATTATTGTTTGGTTTAGAATCCTGCTATGGCACTGTAGGATAAGTATTAGACTGCTAACCAGAAGATCAGTGGTTCAAACTCACTAACTGCTCCTCAGAAACTTATACAGGGTTGATATGTGTTGGAACCAACTTGATGGCACTTAATAACAACAACATTGTTTGATTGAAAGAAATCTTCGAAGGATAAATTTGGTTTAATGTTTAAGGTTTAAAGATGATCTCAGGGCAGTGGTGCCAGGGGATCCACCAGCTTCAGTGGCTCTAGAAAATCTGTATTCCATTAGTTTTGAAATTCTGTTCTGCACTTCCCCCACTTTTGATCAGGATACTTGTATAGAATTTTATATAAAAATGTTCAGCAATGGTAGCCAGGCATCATCCAGTCTTCTAATCTCATAGCAAAGGAAGAAGTTGTTCATGGAGATCATTAGCCACATATTCCCCTTTCTCCTCTTATTCCTGACTCTCCTTCCTTTGTTGCTCCAGGCAAATAGGGACCAATTGTTGTACTTAGAATGGTCTCTTGCAAACTTATGATCTCCGGTCTAAGTAAGATATTGATCGGAAGAAGTAAACACAACAACAAGACAATTGACTGAGTTGTCTCTTGAAACCATGCCCCTAAAATTTCAAATCAAGAAACCAAATTGTGTGGGGTATTTGGCTGTGTATATGTAGTCTCAGCAGTTGCTGTTTTTT